TAACATTATCTTCTGTCCATATGATAAAATTTTAGGTAGTCATTAAAATCATGTTTTCACATATTTGAAAAATAAAACTCCAATGTTAAATGGAGATTGGATATAAACTATATACAGTATGAACCCAATTTGATAAATATATGCTTAAATATGTATGGGAAAAGACTAGGAGGAAATATATATATATATATATATATATCAGGGAGTGTTAACATGAGTTGTTACTGAGTGTTGTAGCTGTGATTGTTTTTTGTTTTTTTCCTTTGTACTTTATTCTCTTATACATTTCTTTTTTCCTTTGTACATTTTTGTTTTATACATTTTCCAGAGAAAACATGTTACTTTAGAGCCTAAAGGAAATTAATTTGTTACAAATTAATTTATTTCACTCCTACTGTATAGCTAGCATTGTGCTCGGTGCTGGGGATAAGAGATTTGAAGAAACTCCTCTCTGTGCTTCAGGAGCTCAAAGCCTAACAAGCTTCTATAAAAATATATAAGCAGATAACAAAAATATGTTGTTTTTAACAACAATAACAGTGATCATACTGACGCATTTGTTAAGTGCTATGGATTGTTCTAAGTGCTTTATGTATACTTGCACTTAAACTTCACAGTTCCCTGAAGTAGGTGGTTTTTAACACATTTTACTAATAGTTTGTACAGGCTGCTTATGGGAACGTAGAGAATAGAGAGATTAATTCTCTCTGTGGGGGTCAGGATGGCTGCAACAAAGAATTGGTATGTCTGCAAATTCTTACAGGATAAATGTGAGTTCTGCAAGCAGAGCAAGAAGTTTTTTGGGTACAGGCAATACCATGCACAGAGATACCAAGGGATGAAAGAACAAGACATTGTTGTGAAATTGCTAATACCACGCACTTTCCTCCCCAGTGAGAAGCTAGAAGGGCCTTCAGGGCCAGTTTATGAAGGGCATAGAAGATCACGCTGTAAAGTTTGAGCGTGATTCTATCAGGCAGCAGTGAGCCATCCAGGAGCTCTGTCATGGTCAGCCCTGCCTTGGAGAAAGATCATTCTGGGCTTCTGAAACCCTGTGAAAAGCTCAGCCGTATGTGGAGGGAGAAGTGTTCCTCTGGAGACTGAGTGTTGCAGGAAAATTCATCTCCGTTCCAGCTGAAGTAGCAGGGAAGGAGAAAGGAAACAACGGGAGGCCACAGAAATGTGTGATTTCCGTTACCCTATCTGCTTGTAGAAAGTCACTGCAGCCATGGGGAATCGAGCCCCCAGATGGGAGCTGTATATGCACAGGAATGTGTTTACACCCAGACCATGAAACGGTGTTACCGCCAGAAGAGAGACTTAGTAATTGCAAATGGGCTTTTGGTTTTGCATGCAATTTCTGTGCTTAGTTAGTCCAAATCACTTCTGTTTTTGCCATAAGAACAAGGGAAAGTCTTGTGTGACCGTACTATAAGTACTTACATTCCAAGCTTGTTTGGTGGTGCATTTGTTATAGAAGTCCCCCAAACCCCTCACCATAAACCTGACAACTTGCTAGAAAGCCAGGGTAACCCTCCTTGGTTCCGTTTGCCAAGCTTTTGGCTTATCAGATGATGGTCTGCTCTGCTTGGCCACAGGGTTCTGCTTGTAACAAATGAGATGATCAGAACAATGTAGGCATTTGTTCATCAGGATTGCTTCTTATTCTCACATTGCCCTCCTATTAAAATATTCCTTTTGCAATGAAGTAGTGATAAGTAGAGGGCATATTTTTCTTTTGGAACTTTTGTTTTCAACTTAAAAAAATTGACTATGAAATGCACATCTGGGCACCACAGAGCCTATGCTTTGTTGATCTGTACTTAGTGCCAGGTGCTCAGAGGGATGCAAAGAAGAATCAGACATGGATGTGGTCCTTAAGACAGATGCTCATGAGTGGTAAATGATGAGTATCATTTGGAAAAGGCTAGAGGTCATCACTGAAACACGCTGGGTGAAAAGTACATAGCAACTCCTTGTACTATTTTTGCAAGTTTTAGGTGAATCTAAAATTATTTCAAAATAAAAAAGGCCAGCACCTAAGGTGAATGGCAGGGTGCCAGTGGGCAGAATATAGAAAGGATTAGCATAGGGTTGTCATTTAAAGCTGCAGCAGGAAGAATCTTGAATATCAGGCTAAAGAGTTCACATTTTATTCTGTAGATTGTGTGAAGCCATGGAAAGCTTTTGATTAAGACCAAAACATAGTCAGATTTCCTACTAGAACAATCGCTCAACTATCCGGGTGAAGGATAATCGTAGGGAAGTGAGGCTTGTGGTTGCTAAAATAACCTCGGTGGGAACGGATGATCTTAAAAGGTATCCCTCTGTCAAAAGGCAAAATTCCAACAAACTTAGATCTTGACTGGCATTTGCTTGTGATTCTATAATTGAGCAATACTTATTTTTCGATAAGCTGAGCAGAAGAGGTTAGCTTTGTAGACAGAAAAGGAAAGCAGAAACAGAGACTAAAAAGTGCATTGGTTGTTTAGATTAAAGCAGAGGGGACTTCCTTATAACGCTGGCTAAAGCTGGCCTGCTTGGGGATGTGACTATCATCTCTCTCTCTCTCTCTCTCCTGATTTCTTAGAAGGCCAGATAAATAACTTCGTGTTGGCTTGGTAGTAGAATTTCTGCATGAGTGACTCCATTTTGGTTTGCTCCATTGGGCCTAGTGCAGGAGCTCAGTCCAAACCATTGGCCTCCTATAAATTGTATTTAACACCTAAGAGAACTGGCTCTGCAGGATGTTAATAGGAACTATTTGAAATAGGGGTTCCATGGACAAACACATTTGGGAAATGTTAAGGTCGAAGAGATTCCTTACCGCAGGAGTTCTCAGCAGCATTGTTAACTTGGTAACTAATGTGTACTGTGATTCTCTAAGCAGAAGAGATGATATGCAGGGTTTCCCAAAGCTTTTTGAACATGGAACCTTCTTAGGAACTTCTCACAGGACTTGTGTTCAGAAAAGTACCGTTTGGGAAACACCAGCTGGCATTGAAATGGAGAGGTATTTGTAGCACAATCCCTCTTTCTGTATCCTGCGAACTGGAAACCATGGCTTAACATATATGGATCCCCTGGCACTGGGGGGATGGGTGCCCACCAGACCATCTCCTTCCTTCCCCAGCTGTCTGAGTCTGCAGGATCACTGCCTTTCCCTAAGCACAGAAGGCTCTTCTGTGGGTTTGTTAACAGCAAGGAAACAATAACATCACAGATGCCTAGAACACATTTCCAACGCAATTCTCTAAAATTGCAATAATGATAAATAATTTAATGTGTGATAAGGGAAACATTTTTGAAGGACTCTTTAAGTGGCATTTTTCAATCAAGTTCCTTAATTAACCTTTTTTGCATTTCAGTACAAACACATGGTAGTTTTAAATTCCTTACCCTTCTTATAAGTGAACTCCACCTTGATTTTGACCGGTGTGCTATAACTACTTAGAGCAGCCTCTCCTCCTTCCCCACCCACCTTCTCATTCTAACACTACCTTGTGGTTAGCAATAGCACCGGGTGATTATTGAAATGCACATGTTTTTCAGCATTTTATTTTAGTTCGCTAAACCCTCTGATCTTGTCACATCTGCTGGTTTCTACAAGTTGTTTGACCTTCAGCTGGCTAGTTAACCTCTCTGAGCATTACTTTTCTTATCCTCAGTATGGGAAGAGCAATTCCTACTTCCCATAGCTAGTACAGAAAAGTGCTAGGCACTTTTAGTGTATACTACCTTTTAGTATATTTAGGTACTTGGTAAATATTCTTTCTGATGGCCTCTTTTCTAGTGATTAGCATTGTATTCTGCAGTTAACAGTTCCTCAGAAACACTTGAGTGAATACAGGTACATGCACACAGATGCCATTAGTCTAATAAAGATATTAGTTAAGGAGTTAATTGCACCTTTAAGATCTTTATTTATTCTTTCTCTTTTGCCTTTCTTTCATTAAAAACATTGAACTTAGTGATGATAATAATAAGCTGTAAACCATCCAGTAAGATTGGTATTATTGCTCCCATTTTAAAAATGAAGAAAATGAGACTCAGACTCAAGCTTTATTAAAATTCACATCTTTCAGTTTCCTAAGTACATGTTCTTTAGCATGAGGAATGATAAGGACCCATTTCTTCTTTGACTCTTCCAGTCAACTCAACAGTTATTGACATGTGCTGGTGCCATAAGACACATTCCAGCCCTGTAAGAACTCACCTTCTAGTTGAAGGAGATGAAATGTGTGCATGAAACTTACAAGGCAGCCCTATAACACCTCATTTATCCCTCACTGGGGAATGAACTGTTATATTAAGTGAATTTTACAGATGGAATCACGAAACTTTAACTCAAAGGGGCCTTACAGATCTCGCTGTACAACCCTATTATTTCAAGGGGAAGAAACACTGGCTCAAAGACACTGGGTGATCTGCTCAAGGTGGCTCCGTTCAACTGTTGCAAAACTGAAACTAGAATCTGGCTCCTTCGACTTCCTGCCTGGGATTTTAAAAATAAGTTAACCATTTTCTTCAATAGAGTACATATTTCTTTGGAATGTATGTCAACTGGATGGCTCCTACCTTACATTTTTCTGCCTGTCTTGGTATCATTGTTATCATTAGCCTTATAACACTGCGCTAGAACATAGCAATGACTTCGAACCTTCTTAAATGTGTATCTGATACTCTGTTCCTTACCCAGACAGCTTCCTGTTACCCAAGCTCATTAGGTCATTTCCGACCCAACCCAAAATCGCACAAACTGTGGGCACTGTATAAACAGATTTGTTTGGTTCATTAGCCTTGGTCCAGTTACTTTATTTCTCTGAGCCCATTTCCTCACCTGTAAAATGGGCAGGGTACAATACCCTATCTCAGAAGTTATTGGAGTAAAGTTATTGGAGTACAAGGAATAAAAGGTGCCTGGAACTTAATAGGTGCTTAGCGCCCTTTTTCCCCCCGTCCTTTCTTCCAAGTGTTCAAGAAACTCTTAAAAGTTGCACACTTCCTCACTCACAAAATGCAAAGAAATAATGAAGTAGAACCAAAATAAGTGTTGGTCATGAAACACAACCCCCTCCTGCATAGTAAATCAAAAGTCCCTCTACTCCAGGAAAAAAAAAAACCTCACATATATGATATCTAGTTTCTTCCTCCCAGTAGAATAAAGAAGGCTTTAACACAAAGCATAATTCATATCATCTCCAGATCTTGGGCCATAGCACCTCATGAAAACTATTAACACATCTCCCACTACCTACTTTATGAACTCATATAAAAGCAGGTCAGGTGAGCTTGCTCTAGGTAATGGCTGAATCCCTGAAGCATATGAAATTTGACCTCGTGTGAAGCGATTGTTTTAAATTCACTCTGGGAAGAGAGAATGCCTTTCTGTGATGTACATAAGCACTCCTAGCAGCACTGTGGATTTCATAGACTCAGAGAGTCAAGGCTTTAGCACTGGAAGGAACTTCCAGGTCTGCCAGTCTAACACCTGAAAGATAAAGAAACTGAGGACTGGGGAACACCTGAGATGTCCCCAAGAAATGCAGAGTCTGAGACAGATCCCAGGTGATTCATGTTTTCCTGAGAATCGTTCGCTCAACATGTAGCAAAACAATGCTGGACAATAACTGAGATCTTTTGGGGGGTTCATGTTTGTGCCTTTGTTTTATGGTTCCTTTTCTCCCTTTTAAGATGAGCAGGTCAGATTTGATTGCCTCTCTGATTCCCTAGGATTGTGAAAGATGAACAAATGAGTGTAAGAATGAACAAAGCCTGCATCAAAGTCCCGATTTTGTGACTACAGCCCTACTCTGTCTTTCTTCTGCAGGATCTCCCCAGGCAGCATTCTCTCAGCCCCCATTTATTGGCCTTTATTTTTGCCAACTGGACCCGTCCTGAGAAGCTACCTCTTTGGCCATGCTCCTCTCCCCGGCAAAAATATCGCCCTGAGTAATTGCCTAGTTGAGGGGCATTTTTAAATTCCCAACAGTGTCTCTAATTCCCAGTACACCCTTGTGCTAGAAGCCCCATGAGAAATTGTCCCCTTGTCCCCCCTTTCCCTGGGAAGGTATGTTTAATTTGTATCTGCAGTTGGTGGACAGAAATAGCCAAATGTAAGGCCCTGAGCGCTTTATAAAGCACAGAAAGGGAGAGAGGTGCTCACATTTATTGAGCACTTGCCAGGAGCAACATATGTTCTCTCTTCTCTAGAGGCAGGTATTCTTATCCCCACACTACAGAAACTGAGGTCCTGGGATGCCAAGTGAGACCCCCAGCTTACACGTGGCTGGCTGCCCTCCAGTGCAACTACCTTACACTGCCTCCCCAGCGTGAACGTCCGTGGCCTCCTGAACGCTTCTGAAATTGAAACTTAGCAAATCTGCAGCAGTGTTCTCCAGGTTTAGATGTTGCAGAATCTCATTGGCATTTAACATGGCTGGGTGTTTGAGTGTATTTTTACGTCTTGCCTGGGGCCTGAATAAAAGTTACAAGCAGCACTGAAGACCAAACCAAGAAAGAAAATGTGGGCAGCCAATCTTGTAACCTTAGCTAATCTTTAATTATGCCTTAATTGAGGATCTATAAAGCAGATATAGGAAGACTAATAATAATATGCTGAGTTTATGCAGCATTTTAATTTCTCCACTTCTTCACGTGTGTTGTAATAATTATTGCCGCCGTTTCTTGAGCCGCAGCTGGGTGCCAGGTACCTTGTGAAGCCCTTTATATTTTTTCTATTTTATTTCTCTCCTCCACTCTTTAGAGGAGATATTCTCCCCTCCTTACCAATGAGGAAACCGATTTACACTTGTCCCAGGGAGAAGCACGGGGCAGCCTTTGCGCCAGGTGCAGTCAGGAGGCCTATTCCACAGTCAACACTAGCTTCTCATTTATAGGTGGTGCTGCCTGTGGATCATGGTGCCCAGAGAACAGGGGCTGAATTTGGGCCCTGCTCCAGCCTCCAGGGCACATCACTCTCCCCTGTGGAACAGTTCAGTGACAAATACATTGAAGCACAGCCCAACAATTCTGTAAAGCAGGGCTCCCCAACCCTGGAGCCATGGACCTGTACCAGACTCTGACCTGTTAGGAATCAGGCCACACAGCAAGAGATGATGGGTGGCATGACCGCCTGAGCCCCACCTCCTGTCAGATCAGCAGTGGCATTAGATTATCACAGGAACCCAAACCCTATTGTAAACTGCAGAGGGATCTAGGTTGCGTGCCCTTTATGATAATCCAACTAATGCCTGATGATCCGAGGTGGAACACTTTCATCCCAAACCCCTATCCCCACCTGCTGCTGGTCCATGGAGAAATTGTCTTCCATGAAACTGGTCCCTGGTTCCAAAAAAGGTTGGGGACCACTGCGGTAAAGTAAGTCTCCCCATCCCAGTTGTTTATGCAGATGAGGAAACTGTGCAGCAGAGAACATTTTTAACTTAGCTTGGTCAGATATCAGTGTTAATGCTTGCTTTGCAGTACCAGCTATCCCCCTATCAAGTGAGATAATCCAGAGAATCTCATGCTCATGGAGCCATCTCCCACCAGAGGGCAAATCTGAGGCCACAGCATCACCAGACTGAGTGACCTGTATCTGCTATCCTCAGACTGATGTACAGAACTCCTGTCATGAGGAATTAGTCCATCATTTCACAGGGCGGGAGCCCCCACAACCGGTGGGGCAGGGGTGAGGGAGTTGTTGTTTTTCTGACTTGTTTATTTCATTTTGCAAAGATCTGGGACATTGACAGGTACAGGAAGTTAAGTTGAAGCCTACAGTGAGAACGTCCGCTAGCAGTGTCATCTGGTTACTTCACAGTAATGACAACAGTGATTAATTATCAAGCTTTACCATGTGCTGGGCAGCCTACTAAGTGCTCCACAAGCCTGCTAAATCCTTCCGTAATCCTACTAAGTAGCCATTACTACCTTTTTTGTTGTTGTTAGAGATGAAGTCTTGCTCTGTTACCCAGGCTAGAGTGTGGTGATACAATCATAGCTCATTGCAGCCTCAAATTCTTAGGCTCGAGTGATACTCCTGCCTCAGTCTCCCAAGTAGCTGGGACTACAGGCGTACACCACCACAGCTGCTTACTGCCTTCTTTTTTTTTTTTGAAATGGAGTTTCGCTCTGTCACCCAGGCTGGAGGGCAATGGTGCAATCTCAGCTCACTGTAACCTCCCGCTCCTGGGTTCAAACAATTCTCCTGCCTCAGCCTCCCGAGTAGCTGGGCTTACCGGTGCCTGCCACCACGTCCGGCTAATTTTTTGTATATTTAGTAAAGACAGCGTTTCACCATGTTGACCAAACTGGTCTTGAACTCCTAACCTCAGGTGATCACCCACCTCGGACTCCGAAAGTGCTGGGATTACAGGCGTTTTTAAATAAAGCAACTAAAGCACAGAGTTTCCAGTAACTGGCTGAAGGTCACTTAAGAATGGAATTCACTTCTAACCAAGGTGGGAATACTGATCTGTCTGATTTCAGAATCAATACTACTCTTTACTATTCCATACTGTGACTCTACCCCATTGCAGCTTAGTGACTTTAGGACAGTCACTTAACCAGATACACTATAATGGAAACAATAACACCTATTTCACTTGATTTTGTCAGGATTAAATAAGATGGCAGTCTACCAAAAGCCAGTGGATGGGGATAAAGGTGTTTCCTTCCTTCTGAGATCAGTGGCAAGTAAATATTTACTGATTTCAGTTTTAGATGCTTTGATGCAAATGTTATACCCACCACTCATTTTCTACTGCACCTCTTTTACATTCAGCAGCTGAAGACACCAGTGCTTTCGGCTGTGTGTTTTAGAGTCAGACAAACCGCAGGCCCCAGCCAACTCCCTTCTTGTGGAGCCTCCTCTCAAGGCTGTGGATATCCTTTCTTTTTAGTATGGGGCTGCTGTGAGGACTCAGACGTAGCGTGTCTTTTAAAAATACTGGCTTTGAGGGAAAGAGAGATTGAGGGAAACCTTGCAAGCCACATGGGGAAATTGTGGACAGGACACTTCTCCAAAGTCCATTTTGTAATTATTCTCAAGAGAATCCATGGAGAGTCAGCACCTTTTTGGCTGCCCAAAAAGTGCCCTTGTCTCCCTAAAAGGGAGAGTTAACAGGCCGGGGAAGAGTTGCTGGCGGCCATCAACATGATGAAGTGAAATTTCAAATTACATTAGATGTTTGCTTAAGGAACAACAGATGAGGCCCTGTGGATTCTCAATCCTCTTGACTACACTGCAAAATGAAAGCATAACCATTTGAAACCCTTCCCCCGGATCCTATGAAGTCTGGGCCCAAAAGATGACCTTTTAACGATAGCTTCCTGCCTCTGAAGGGTTAGGGTGTGTCGAATTTGTCTTTGCTCAGGGCCTGGTTTTAATCATTGCCATAGTCAGAAGAAAGGGCTCTTATCCACATTGCTTACTTTTAAAAATATCCGAGATGTTCTTTGAGGTTATAATCAAAATTTTTTGGATAAGGTTCCCTGTCCTTTACCTGGTAATCTACAGTGTGACCTTTGTCACATTCAGCGAGCTTCCATTGAGAACCCGTTGTGGCCCCAGCCAGTTCACATGGGTGGGTGAATTTCATCTTCCCCAGGATCCTGTCATTGAGGCTTTGTATTTTCCGCATTTACAGGTGAGCAGACCGAGGCTCAGATAGGATAAGTCATTGTCAAGATCACACACAGCTAATGGATGCGTAAATACTTAGCCCTTTGGAGAAGGGAGGGAAACTGTTTCTGATGGAGGGAACTGCCTATGTGTGCAAGACTAACTCCAAGTTCATTGCCCTTTTTACTACACTACAGCTAACTCTCTCATCAGGGGAAACTTGACGATATTCAGTGGACAACGAGGAGCCACAGGAGGTTTCTGAGTAGGATAATGGCCTAAACAGAGCTTTGGAAACATTGATCAGCTAGCTTCTCTTCCTTTCTTAGTCATTCGCATTTAATCTCAGTATTACTCTGTAATTTTAAAACCATGCACCCAGAGCAAATGTGCACTTGATGTGGAAAATGAGACCTAGAAAAGTTTTATAAGCTGCCCAAGGTCACGAGCTTAGCATTTAACCAGGACATTAAACTCTCACTGTAGTCTGAGCACCATTTTCCCTTGGGCAAACTACCAGCCCAGCCGCAAACTCAAGTCTGCAGAAGCCCATCCTCTCTGTAAAGAGCCCACGGTAAAATTAAAATTCGTCCAGGACAGAGGCATAGAGCTGCCCCAACCAGTTTAAATTGTTCAATCCTCTGTCCTCCACCCCACAACTGCAGCGGATTCTGTTCAGAATCTAATTAGTCTTCAAAGAAACTTTTGCTGGTAAAATAGGCTCCCAGCAGAGAAGGCTTTGTTTTCCATGTTTGGTGGCTAAAAAAAGGCACATTTTGCACCAAAATGACAGAGTCTGGAGGTGGTGAACTTTTGACCCAAGAGAATAAATTCTTGAAGGGAAAATCTACAGCCACCTGAAGCTTGGCTTGGCTGCATTTATGCAAATGGACCCAGCCCCAGTAGGATGTTAGAAACCATTATGACCAGGTTCCCTCTTTACCACCTCCCCCAGGGGCCCTGATCCTTGGCTTAAGTTTTGCATTTCCATAATAAAGGCCACCAGCTCCCATTTCATCACGTAGTCCCCAAGAACCATTTAAAACCCAGGCAGCCCCCATTGTAGCAGGATTTCCTTGGCTCTCCTTCCCTGGCCCTCTCTCCCTCTTATCTCTCTTCTGAACCTGTGAGTTTTTCTGAGGAAGAGATTAAATCAATTGCAAAGAGCTGTTTAATTAAACTCTCCCCCTCCCACCTCTAAAGTTGCTGGAGACTTCTTTTGACTTCTCCTTGGTGATGCCTAATCACTGTAATTTAGCAGATTCTGTAATTACGTGCCGCACACGGAAGCAGTTTGATTGCTGTTTCTTTGTCCTGCCTATTTCAACCTCAGCTGACAGCTGACTTCACCCTCCACGAGTGTCTGGAATATCCTGGTAGGAGGCAGGTTGATCTGAATTTACAGGCAGCCTTTGAGGGGTCCAGATTTAGAGGCAAATGGGACCAAAGGGTGGGTATTGGGCATTCTGAGGGTGAGATGGGCTTCCCGTTTCTGCAGGGTGACCTGCGGGGCTGCAGGTGCAGGGAGACACCTGCCAGAGCACAGATGGGTGGGTTTCCAGAGACTCCGGGCCCAGCCGTGAGGTTCACAGTTCACTCTGCCCTCAGTCATCCTGCCAGTGCATTTTTCATTCTGCAAGATGCAGACACAAAACTGTAGGAAGTGGCTCATGCCACCTTCCCAGATCTCCCCTTTCATAAACATGGCCATTAACTCCCTTTTACACATGACAAAAGTGAAATGAGACTTTCCAACTAGTCAGTGATGGCACCTAGATCAATCCCGGTCCGTGTCACTTTAAAGCCCACTCCGCCCAATCAATGCTTTGTTTGGTGGTGCCTATCCTTGTGTTAAGTGCCTCACTTATATTTTTTTATTTGATCTTCACAAAATTCGTTGCATAATTATAAACAAGGTTGAATTGTAAGGAAAACGAGATTTTAAAAGTGATGTAGTATGTACAATGTCACACAGTTAGCAAATGAAGGAGTTGGAATTTGAACCTATGTGGCTCTGAGTCCAAAGCCCAAACTTGTAACCCCCACACTTTATCCCTTTTTAATTATATAGTGAGTTCTCGTGCATTCCAAGGCCATGGAATGTATTCCGTCAAGCACCTTGCAGATTTTTGAACTATTTCCACATTGTTTTGATTTAGCTTTCTTATGCACTTAAATATTGAGAGTCGTTACCTTAGAAATTAGTGGCAGAAGGGTGTTTTTCCTCCCGGGCTTTTATATATACCTGTAGTGTTAAGACCGTGGGGTGGCGGTGTATTTTTTGCTTCTTAACATATGACATTGCCGTCTCAAAACTTTCCAGCGAGGTGGGTAGGCCAGCCCTGGGCCTCCTAACCTATTTCCAGGAAACTGCTTCAGGGCACAAAACTTCTGACCGTAGTCAGAGCTGGGACCCCCAGGAGATGCTCTGTGTAAAGAGCTGCTGAATAAGGAGATGGGGAACCTGGGGCTTGCTGGGGTAGTCTAGGGGTGGGTGGTGATGATGGTGACAGCTACACAGAAGACAGTGACCCCACCACAGGACTATGTCTTTAGTTGGCAGGAACCAACAGGTAGTAGGAAGATGTGGGTTTGGTGGTCTCCTCGGAAGAAGCTTCTAGGATCTCAGCAGGACAGACTTAATGGGGCACTACACACCCTTGGGGTGTCGGGAAGTTTGCAATGGAAGCTGTGGCTGTGATTGCTTTGGATTGAGTGTGATTAAAAGAGAGAGAACAGGACGTTTTTCTTCCTTTTAGAATGGAAGAGAGAAAGCGGAGCCTGCTTGAATACCAGTTCTCTGACAGGCTCTGTGTTTTGACGTGGTGCCTGACTTGAAGGACCTGGTTGGCAAAGTTGACAGAAAACTTTGCACACATCTTCTAGGGCTTCAAAGTGAAGAGCCCTTTGCCTTAACACAGGTGTGTGAGTGTCGCCATGTGTGTCTGGGTTGAGTGAGCACTTTGAGATAGAGCTAGCCTGACACTGAGCAAAGGGAGGAACTGAAACCTCCTGTTTTGAGTAACAGCTTCTATAAGAAAAGCCTCTATTAGCCACTCTTCGAGTCCCATTCCATACTCTAGATATTTCCTTTATATTTTTGACCTGTATAAACTTGTTCTCATTTACATCCCTTAGCCAACCATCTTCTAATGTTTCTTGACACCTACTTAATTATCTTGAGTAGAAAAATGAGAGAAGGGGTGGAGTAGAGCCAGCTACATTCCTTATAAATTTTGTTTGTATTTTTTTTTCTAATATAAAAATGACACATTATTGGTCCTTTTCTTTGAAAATAAACGGAAATAAATTGCTGTGCAATCCATGTAGACAAAGCAAATATATCAGTTAAAAAATAGCACACAGCAGCTAGCAAACTACTTTAACATTGCATCAATTCCTGTCTAATAGCCACAATGCACACAAGCAAATTATTCATCAGAAACAAGCTCCAGACATAAAGCAAAATAATCCATGTGAAGGAATTCCAACATCCTGCTCACACATGGACTACAAGCAAATAGTTCACTGAATATTAGTGCACAGCAAGCAAAGAAAAACATTTTAATGATTTGTACAAAAAGCATATTTTAGTGAGCATCAGTGCTTTATAACAAGCAACAAAAATGTACAGTATCATAAAGATTTTAATCCTTGTCTTCCAAACCTAGAAAATCATGCAAAGCCAGGTAAATAAACATTTCCAAAACCTTCAAAAGCTCATGTCACTGATGGATTCCAGATGATTCTCCTAATCACTGCATTAGAAAACAAGTTATCTTGATCTATAAAATACCACTCCTCAGCTCTGTTTACTGTGTCCTTTTTCAAAGCGTCTATAATATTAACATCAAACCTGATGTTAGAGCTGTGCCTCTGTGGCTTAAGAAAACCCTTTATTTGTAATTATTCCTAAATGAAATATGTGTACAAAATTTTAACAGTTAAATTTTAGGCCAGGCGTGGTGGCTCATGCTTGTAATCCCAGCACTTTGGGAGGTCGAGACGGGTGGATCACCTGAGGTCAGGAGTTCGAAGCCAGCCTGACCAACATGGTGAAACCCTGTCTCAAATTAAAAAAAAAAAAAAGAGGTTAAATTTTAGTAAAAGGTTTATAATAAAAAATATCAGTTCCTTGCCCCATTTCTTGCCTCATGCACTCCCAAGTCTCACTCCCTGGGAGACAGGAACTCTAATCTCTTCTACCTATTTCTCCTGCTGTTTACCTCCATGTTTTAAACAACATGCATGTACTGCTATTTCTTCACCTATTAATTTTACACATTATCTGTTGACTTTGTGCAATAAAGTAAGACTCCCACACCACCTCTTCGCTTGTTTTCTCTCTCCCCATACAACTCTAGCATAAATATTATAATCATTTTTGTTAAATAAGTAGTTGTGGGTTGTATTACTATGATTATGTAATGTGTGGGCTTTGGGGTTTTGTTTTTTGATTTTTCCCACAGCCAAATAGTGCACTGTAACCATTCCTCTTTTCTTGTGCATGCCTTCATTTATTTTCTCAGAGTTGTTCATTGTCTTTTTTTCCCTTTGCCTTATTGGAGAAATGTTAAGTGATTCAGAGCAGCTAGGACAAGATCCTTAATATAAGGGATGCAGTAACTGATAAGGCTGTAAAAGGGACCAGATTTTTTTTTTTTTTTTTTGAGACAGAGTCTTGCTCTGTCACCCAGGATGGAGTGCAGTGACACGATCTTGGGTCACTGCAACCTCTGCCTCCCAGGTTCAAGCAATTCTCCTGCCTCAGCCTCCTGAGCCGCCAGGACTACAGGCGCACACCACCATGCCCAGCTAATTTTTTGTATTTTTAGTAGAGACGGGGTTTCACCATATTGGCCAGTCTGGTCTTGAACTCCTGACCTTGTAATCCACCTTCCTCGGCCTCCCAAAGTGCTAGGATTACAGGCGTGAGCCACCGCACCCAGCCTAAGGGACCAGATCTTAATGGACCTTGAATGCCAGGCTAAGGAACTTGGACTTGAGGGTAACAAGGAGCCGGGGAAGGGCTTTAGGCAGGGAAGTGACCTTCTGGAACATTCCTCTGATGGCTATGTGAGAGGTCCATATGGAAACAGTTTTTAAACTGACACAGAGGAGTGTGTGAAAGTACCTGCATTTTCAGAATCTTTCCAGCACAACTGGTGTCATCTTTAGGAAACGCCTACACTTGCATGGGAGTTTGTCAATTCACTAACAGACTCCAGCTCTCCTGCACTTTCCTTCCCCGAAAATATGGATACATTGTAAGGAAGAGTAAAAATCATCTCACAGGTATACCCAACTGGAATTTCCTGATTCATTTGAAATTAACCAGTCTCAAAGAGGTCCAGGTTATGCAGGTTATGGGTAACAGGAAAACTACTACTACTAACACACGCGCACGCACACACACACACACACACACACACACACACACACACACTTATTTTTAAGTGAAAATAGCTAAAATGCTGATGGATAGATTTATGTATTACCCACCACCAATGAATTAGAATTTATTCTACACACAGACATCTAACTCTTTTTTTTTTTTTTTTTTTTTTTTTGAGACAGTTTCGCTCTTGTTACCCAGGCTAGAGTGTAATGGCATGATCTTGGCTCACCACAACGCCCGCCTCCTGGGTTCAAGCAATTCTCCTGCCTTAGCCTCCCAAGTAGGTGGGACTACAGGCACGTGCCACCATGCCCAGCTAATTTTTGTAATTTTAGTAGAGACGGGGTTTCACCATGTTGACCAGGATGGTCTCGATCTCTTGACCTCGTGATCCACCTGCCTCGGCCTCCCAAAGTGCTGGGATTATAGGCGTGAGCCACCGCGCCTGGCCGACATCCAACTCTTAAGCTGGAATCACACAAATCTCAGTTGATGCTTTTTGCTCTGTTTTGTTTTGTTGGGAGAAAAAAGCTGGAAATGTCAGGAGATCAAAGTTAGAATACAGAATAAGAATTAAGATTTAGAAGGTTACTCAAATAAGAACAGAAAGAAACTAGGGTTTTTATCCATGTTGGCGTGTATGAAATTACTTTTAATTTTGCAAAATCACAGCTTTGCCCTCTCAGCCTGTGTAAGTGAACCTTTCAATTAGCATTCATAAAGACGAAAGCCCCAGTGTTATGGGTGACCAGGGACTGTCCAGATTTCTGAGAGCGCAACTGACCAACTTACTGCTTCTATAACATACAAAGTGAATTTGCTTGTCAATTCTTTAAATTCTATTAGTATAGTTATACGTTGCTATTTATACCAAGAGACAGTCTTTTAAAACATGATTTCTGCTGTTTTTTTCTTATAGTTGGGAAATTCAGCTCCTAACCAACTCATCACCAGAAACGCAGTGGCAGACAGCTGTTAGGGCCACACATTATCCTCATCATAATACCTATCGCTGAGGGAGCCCCTGCTGTGTGCCAGGCACTGTCCAGACGTCTTCACTAGCATTGCAGCCTTTGACACTCGCTACAGTCTAATAAAGTCATTTCTTTCCTTCATTTTCTAGTGGAGGAGAGAAAATGGGATTTCCCCAAAGATGTACTGCTGTAAGTGGTAGAATCGAGTTTTATTATGAGTTGATCTGATTCTGTGTCAGTGGAGATACTTTTGGCTGTAATTAGCAGAAAACTTAACACCAAGTACTAGGAATATATATTGTGTCACATAAAAGGAAGCCCAGAGGTAGGGTGGGCCTCAGAGATGGCTGCTCCAGAGACCAGCAGTATCATGGAATCACATTCTTACCCCGGCTTTGCTCTGCTGTACTCAGGCCGGTTTCCCTTGTAGTTGTAGGGTGGCGGCTAGCAGCATTGTGGACTGTGTGCTTGCTCACTGAATGGTCAAGAGAAACTGGCTTCCATTGCTCAGTATTAAAAACAAAGAACAGGCTGGGTGCAGTGGCTCACGCCTGTAATCCCAGCACTTTGGGAGGACGAGGTGGACAGATCACTTTTGGTCAGCACTTCGAGACCAGCCTGGCCAATATGGTGACCCCATCTCTACTAAAAATACAAAAATTAGCCGGGTGTGGTGGCACGCGCCTGTAATCCCAGCTACTTGGGAGGCTGAGGCAGCAGAATTGCTTGAACCCAGGAGGCAGAGGTGGCAGTAAGCTGAGATCACGCCATTGCAATCCAGCCTGGGTAACAGAGTAAGACTCCGTCTCAAAAAAAAAAAAACAAAAAAACAACAAAGAACAGCTGGGTGCCGTGGCTAATGCTTATAATCCCAGCATGGAGGTTGAGGAGGGCAGATCACTTGAGGTCAGGAGTTTGAGACCAGTCTGGCCAACATTGTGAAACCCCATCTCTACTAAAAATATATATGTATACAAAAATTAGCCATGTGCGTGCCTGTAATACCAGCTACTTAGGAGGCTGAGGCAGGAGAATCACTTAAACCCAGGAAGCAGAAGTTGCAGTGAGCCAAAATCGCACCACTACACTCCAGCCTGGGCGACAGAGGGAGACCCTGTCTCAAAAATAAATAAATAAAAATAATAAAAAAAAAACCAACGGTTTTTTCCAGAAACTTCCGGAAATCTTATGGAGTTTCACTGCCTCAAACTGGGTCCCCTGCTCATTCCTGCAACACTCATTGGTTCAGGGGATGAGGTCACCCTCAGATCAGTCAGACACCTTGTGTGTAGATCAGTTCCCCAAACCACACTGTTGTTACTCAAGGGAAAAGGCAGAATGGAAGCTGGAGGGCAAAGGTCTTTCATCATATCCAGGGCAGGCTACATCATTTATTAGGCTCCGTGCAGAATGAAAATACAGGGCCCTTTGTTCAACATTTTTTCAGAATTTCAGGATAGTGTCAGCCCATCAAACCAAGTACAGGGCCTTCTAAGTGCAGGGCTCTGGGTGACTGAAGAGTTCACACACCGGAGAATCTGGCCCTCACTGCAGGCCGCCTGCTGTGTACGACGTTTAAGTGTTCACCATCCTGCCTCCCACTTGATAGCAGGGACCAACCACTTTTGTCTGTCATTGTACCCTCTGTGCTTGATTCAATGCCTGGCATATGAAAGGTGCTCCAGGGAAAAAAAATATTTGAGAAAGGAGTGCTTGGCTGAGCTGAAATCACTGGTCTAAGGAAATAGTGATAAGTGATAGTGACAGAGATGCTGAGGATGTCTTGAGCACGGACTGGATGTCGGCATCATACATCTCACCTCCTTCCTTGGTGGATTCTCATCCTGTCCTGAGATTCTTCTACCTCCGCATGCACCCTACCGCCTGAGTGCCACGTCTTGTATTTTGTGCTTGAGGGACATTTTTGTTTAACTCGCTTTCCTGCTATTTCACAGGGCTTAGGCCTTGGGGCTGATGCCTGCCGGACTATAATCACCTATTTGACGTGTTTGACCAGGATTCTCACGCTGTTGCATTCATTCACCACTAGTCTTTGTATTACCATGCAAAGGACTTTCTTTTTGATGTTAAAACCTGCTTTTGGATAGGATATTCAGAAATGATGTTTGCGTCTGTGTCAGTCCAATCAGTGTTTTTTTCTCACATAGGAACGTAGGCCTCCTTTTGTCATAGCAGTTAAGTCAGATTTTGTTGCAGACAGAGCACTGTGTGGCCTCCAGGGAGAAACAGATTTAAAGAAGTATTTGGACATGTTGTCCTAGTTGGAGGCACCAGGCAAAAACACAGAAGGGGTTAAACAACAAGAAAATTGTCATCATAAAGACATCACGAGGGCAAGGCTTAATTAAATTAATTGGCTTTTGAAAGGTACAGGCTGCACTCCTATTATTTTCTGCCTGCCTGACTTTCCTCACGCTGTCTCTGCATATTTTATACATTGTCCCTATCATTTAATTCTGCCCATCCTTCAAGATCTCCAGAGATCACCTCAGAGGCCTTGAATAGAAATGTTCTGCAGGCACCTGCTGCATGTTGACATCTGATAGGCATTTATTGCTTCTTCTGGGCACTGTCTCCCAATTTTGCAAGAGAACGTCAGTCCGTTCCAGCCCCATCACATTCATTATACAGCCTCGGTGCCAGCAGTTCCCATGCTGCATCTGCTTAGGGCTGTTGTCTCTAAGCCTGTCTCCTTCAGGAGGCTCAGTGCCTTGATGGTAGGGATGACATTCGTGCTAGCCCCTCTCTCCATGCCTGTCACATGGTCTTGGTCATAGTAGGTACCAGTGAAAGTTGGTTGACTTGCCTCTGTACTCCAAAGACAGAGAGTCTGTGGGCTTGAGGGCCCCAAAGGAATTCTCGTGATCCTCAGTCTGAGATCACAAGTAAGACAGGCAGTGTGTGATTTCAGTCTAGTGATGAGCCTCGAGCTGTCAATAAGATA